GCTCACGTCTGCAATCCCAGCACTTTGGGAGGCCAAGGTATGCGGATCCCTTAAGGTCAGGAGATCGATACCAGCCTGCCCAACATAGCTAAACCCTGTCTCTATTAAAACTACAAAAATTAGCCAGGCATGATGGAAGGCGCCTGTAGTCCCAGCCACTCGGGAGGCTGAGGCAGGAGAATTGCTTGAACCCCAGAGGTGGAGGTTGCAGTGAGCTGAGATCACGCCACTGCATTCCAGCCTGGGTGATAGAATGAGACTCTGTCTCAAAAAAAAAAAAATTTTTTAAGACAATATTGGCCCCTATGACAGAAGGGAAATGGGGGAATGGTGCTGCTTGCTCATCTAGATCTAGGAGCTCAAATAATATTGTCAGGCATCTCCACTTTCTCTCAGCTTTGTGTCCCTCTGTACATTTCCTCATTTTTTCCTCTAGCTATTGTGATGCAGAGGGCAGTGGGCATGTCACCAGAAAACCCCAGGCCGACATCATTTTTGTTTAGCAAACCCAGAGGAAGAGGGAGTATCCATATAGCCCAACCAAGGAAGAGCTCGTCAGCTTGCCTCATGTGGCCACAGATGGTAGGATACTGTCCTTGGCAACCTCACCAGAACCCCAAGAAGGGAAGGGTGAGGTGATACTCCCAAGAGAAAGGGTGAAGGGATGCAAAACAGACAGAGAGATGCCACTTGGCAAGGGTTCTCAAGGCCAAGGTCAGCCATTGCGTCTTCAACCACAATTTCCATTTCAAGACTCATTTTCCACCCAAAGGGTGTGGGCTTCTTGGAGGCCTCAAATGGTGGGAGTCTGTCACCCACATGGACTCTGCAGCAAGCCGCCACCTGCTTCTTCACAAGAGGCAAACTCGCTCAGAGGCCTGGGCCGCGGCTGTGGGCGCACAGTCAGGCACTGGGCGTTCTTGGGCCCGGGCAATTGCTGAGTCAAAGGGCCGCGGGCCAAGGCACGGGCTGCCCGGTCCTGCTCCCCTTAGATGGGCGGTACTGAATGTTCTCCAGGCGATGCAGGGCTGCTGTGCCACTTTAATTGGAGATGGTGATGGTGAAACCTTCAGGGGAAATTCAGGTGCCAAATGCCTCTCCTAGAGGCGCATTAAAAGTGTCTGGTAGTTGACCAACCCAAATAGCAGGCATCTCTGGGGAATTTCCCAGCAGAGTCCCCACCCTATCACCTCCCCCCACCTCCCAGCACAGGAGAAAGAATCCTGCCATCCAGACACACCTGGCTCTGCCTCCACCCCTTCCAACCTGCAGACTCTTAAGCAATTTTCTTCACCTCTTTAGGCCTCAATTTCCTGATTCATAAAATAGGAATTATACTATTTTATCTGGAATAATAAGATAATGGCCATAGATATATTTCAATTGTTTATTTTTACTTAAGTCAGTTTTGGCAAATTATATTCTTAGAAGTGTTCCCTTCTAAAGATGTCCAATATTTTGGTGGCCAGGCACAGTGGCTCACGCCTGTAATCCCAACACTTTAGGAGGCCGAAGTGGGCAGATCACCTGAGGTCAGGAGTTCAAGACCAGCCTGACAAATACTGCAAAACTCTGTCTCTACTAAAAATACAAAAATTAGCCGGGTGTGCTGGTGCACACCTGTAATCCCAGCTACTCAGGAGACTGAGGCAGGAGAATTGCTTGAACCCGGGAGGCAGAGGTTGCAGTGAGCAAAGATCACGCCACTGCACTCCAGCCTGGATGACAGACAGAGGCTCCGTCTCAAAAAAAAAAAAATGTCCAATGTTTTGGTATAAAATTATTCACCTATTGTTTTGTTACTTGTAATGTCTGTCTGCTGTATATGTAGAGAGACTCTCCTTTTCATTTCTAGCTTTTTTGTAGAGTCAATTTGGGTTTGTTGAACCTCCCTAATAGGCCTTATGTTTGTATTATTAACTTTTGCTCTTATTTTGTTATTTCCTTCCTATGTTCTAAACCTTTCTGGGGTTCAGTCTATTATTCTGTTCCTATCTTCTTAAGTTTATTATCAGCATTCAAAGTTGTAAGTATCAGTCAAAGTACTGCTTGAGGTGTATTTTGCAAGTTTTGTTACGTAGAATTTCCTTTACTATTCAGTCACAAATTTTTTCTGTATTACATACTTTATAATGTCTAATTTGAACCATGAGTTATTTAGAAGTGGGTTTTTAAATTTCAAAAACATACATTTTTAAGCTATTTTACTCACCATCATATTCCTATTGTTTACATAGCAGAATGCTTGACACACAGTAAATGATCAAAAATTATTGTAAACCAAAAAGGGAGAGAGGAAGGGGGGAAAAAGAGGGAAGGGTGAAGGAAGGGAGATTGCTAAAATGACCTTGACTGCTTTAACCAAAAGTTTAAGAGGAACAGTTCTGCTGCCAGGACAAACGTTAGGATGGTCAGAGGTAAGCAGAGGAGAGTAGCACATGGCCCCAGTCCCAATCCTGAAAGTCTCAGAGGAAGTTCAGGAATATCTAAATTTTATACCCAAATGTCCTTCCCTCTGTGGCTCTCCCTGTTGCCACACTTGCCAGCCAGGTGTCCAGCCCCAGATGAAGAAGACAGGTGGCAGAATCTCCCCCACAGTCCCCTGGGTGCTCAATCTGAGGCAGCAGGACAGAGAATAAAGGAGTAACCTGGATGATTGGAGCTGAGCCTGGGAAGATGCCAGCAGGTCAGGTATATGGGCAGTTCCCCGTTGGCTGGAAAGGGCACTGCCTTCCTTCTGCATCTCTTTTAAACTGCTGGCTCCTACCTTAAGGAGCCTCAACAGCTATGCATCCAAGCACACTCTCTGCAACTTCCATTCTGTGACAGTGGTAGCCGGTAATCAATCGGGTTGGTCACACACGTGGTGCCCTACAAGTTTTGTCACCCTATGTCACATTGTGTCCCACATGGTCTTTTTTAGTGCTCCCAAGAACCCTTAGCTCTGAACTCGTCAACAGCCTGTCTGGTCTCAGATCCATTTGACACCCTTCCGCTGACCTGCTGTGGGACCTATGCTCCCCAGGGTCCTTTGTCCACGACTTCAGGGTACTTTTCACCCATGCGAAGCGTGTGAGCAAGACTAGAAGGGAGAAGCCAGGATATGTTTCTCCCTTCCCCTCTGCTCCTAGTGGCATCTCTGGCAGTAATTACTGCCAAGGTGCCCCACCCACGGGGCAAAAACCAACATGGTCTTAGCTTCTGCCAATGGCCAGACTCCTAGAATCTGATAACAATACCTCCTCCCATTGTTCCTGCAGCCCTAAGGGGGCAGGCGCAGCTTCCGGCTCTTACTAAAATCTGAATTGCCTCTCAGTGTCTTCAGTCATTTGTGTGACTAACTCTCTGTATTACATTTTCTTTGTTTGAAAAACCTTGAGCAATTCCCATTTCTTGGCTGGCAATGGATGAATACAAACCCTTTTTATAGGTGAACCCTAAAGTGAGGTTCAGAGAATTTAAGAAAGAAGATGTAGAAATATGAATAATTAAGAAAAAAGAAAGAAAAAAAAAATACCAGTAATGAAAACACCAGCACAGAGCCTGAGCTCAGGTCTAACTCTGATACTTTCTAGCTGTGAGATCTTCTGAGCCTCGGCTTTCCCACGTGCAGATATGGATGATGACGGCACCTACTGCATAGGACTGTTGTGAAGATGAATGCAGCCACTACTTCTGACATTTAACTAAGCAAAAAGCCTGATGTATGGCCACACAGCTGAACACTGGCTGAACTGGGATCCAAACTTCCTATTCGGTGCTTATTCCCCTGTGCCAAGCAGCCTGAATCAAGCTGCTCATGATTTGGGTTCTCATGAAGGGACTTCCTCTCTTAACCTTGTGGACTGGATCCTTTCCTCAGAGATTTTCCCCCTAAGAACTCCCTTCCCTCCTCTTCCCACCGTCTCTGCCACATGAAATGATCTCTTCTCTTCCCCCACTGAATAATTGCAAGTGGCTCTCAAACTGGTTTGTCCTCCCAAGTTCCCATAAGGAACCAGATCCCCAGGCATAGCTGCAGAGTATAACTCAGCCTCAGCCTCCCTGAAAGCCAGCACCTAGTAGGGCTGTCACAGAGCCCAAGGCCCCTGTGCCCAAGAGCCCCCTGAACCTGCTCAGAGGTGTAATTAAGTGAGCTTTGAAAGCAGCCCTGCCAGTGTGGGCTCCCAAACCCCAAGGAACCAGGTCTCTAATATCCCTGTGAAAGTCATCCTAGCCATTCACCAAGGAGGAAGAGACTGCAGCCTATGAGTGTAGAGCCTGGACTCCTACCCTGGCTTTATCTGGGGCACTTTGGGCCCAAAGACTCTGAGGTTGGTGTCTATTGAGTCACATCTCTACTTCCCTCCTTTGGGAGAAATACATCCTTGCTTATCAATGCTAAAGCCTCTACCGCTTAGTATCAGTCTCGAGGATGAACCTCTGGGATCCAACAGAGACTCAGACGCAAGAAAGGAGGGCTGAGCTGGTGCAATATTCACCCATCTAAAGCCAGGGCATCATGGAGTACATCCTGGAGTGGCTACCTTCTCAATACATCCCCATTTGGGGGCTCCTAGATGGTTTGCTCTCATGGGCATGCCCTGGCCCCCAAAAGTAAGATTCTCAGTGAATGCATGTGGTCCCTGACGTGGTCATTCATTCGTTCAACAAAACTGCCATGGTTCCAGCATCATGTGCTCTACAGACAGAAGAAACCCTGCCCCATCCCTGTCGGGGGCTACACATACAAAGAAACAAAGCAGCCTTGGATCCACCCTTTTATGAGCTGAGTGATTTTCATTATTTCTTGCATTTTAAAATTATTCTAAACATTACATCCTCTTAGGATGCACATGATGCCAGAACCATGGCAGTTTTGAGGAACGAATCAATAATAAGGGAATGTTATTAGAAAGCTAGTAATGTCTCTTAACTTTCAGAGGTACCCTTAAGTTAATAATCAGGTATAGTCTTATATATTTTGTCCTATATTTATAAAACATAGATACGGCTTGCAGTTTGGAGAAGTAGGTTGTTTTATTTTGGCTTTGGTTTAATTTTTTGTTTTGTTTTACAAAAATGAGATTATGCTATATAAATTTCTTAGCAAGTTGCTTATCTCAGTCATCAGACCACAGCTATCACTTCAGATCAATCCACTTATATTTGATTCATTTCACAGCTATATCCTATGTCATATCACACCGTATTCAGTCATTCCCCTATAAGGAAGTGGGAAATACATGTTCACAGCGTCAAGCCATTGCTGTTTTGTTGCAGGATCTGGTATTACCCTAATCCAATGGTTCTCAAAGTGTGATTCCCAGACAAGCAGCATCAGCTTCATCTAAGAAATTGTTAGAAATGCAAATTTTGGGGTCTGTCCCAGAACTACCAAATCTTAAACTCTGGGGTGGGTCACAGAAATCTGTGTTCTGGAGTTCTACAGGTGATTCTTGAACACATGTTCAAGTTTGAGAACCACTGCCCTAACCTGTACCATGTCATTCATGTTCCACGAGGACTATGTCTATTTGTTTGCCCTCCACAAGCAATTGCAGCAATTACAGCTGGGTGCCAGCTTCTTTGCAGAAAACTTTTTCTCAACCTGGAAAAATACAAGAAGTTTCTAGATAAGGAAAGTTAGATGAGGTGTTCAAGCTAGCTACCCAGTTGCTAATTAACTCATTAATTCACTCTTTCAGGATGTATTGAACTCATAGTCACAGGCATAATGCAAATATATGCCCCTGTGTAACGTATCTGGGGAAAGGTGACAAGCAGATTTTTCTCAAATGATCTGGATGCCCGATGTGATTCTTCCTTAGGTGCAAAGAGGTTGCAATTGGTGAGTTCTGTTTGCAAAAGACCAACCACCTGGCAATGCAGACGTGGAAGCCATGAGAGTGCCAAAAAAATGTGGAAGATGGAGGCAGAGAGAACCAGGCTTGAATCCTGGCCCCACCTCTCACCCACACTCCCTGAACCTCAAGTTTTGCATCTATAAAACTGTGGTGATAATAAAACCTACCTATAGGGCTGTTGATCCAAACTGTATTTTGTAACTCCTCCAGAGAAGTTTTCCAGTCAACCTAACGCTTCTCTATGACTCTTCAGAGAATGAAAAAATGAGGAAGGAATTAATGAATTATTTCATGAGAATGCCATTTTCCTCTGCTTCCTCCATGTTAAGAATTATATAGAGCATGTGCCACTGCTGTCTTCTTCATGAAACCCCCTGAGAGGCAAGGGTAGGGTGGAGGGTGAGGATGGCCACGGGGGTAAGCATGAAACCTCCTGAGCAGTCCTGAGCCTGGCTGTCGACTCAGGAGCTATGAATGGAATGGTAACTAAGAGAAGCAGGGGGTTTCAAGCTTGAGCATGTGTTAGATTCCCCTGGAAGTTTTTTAAACCACAGATGACTGGGCCCCACCCCAGAGTTTTCAGATTAAGTAGATCTAGGGTGGTGTCTGAGATTTTTCATCTCTAACCCGTTCCCAGACAATGCTGATGCTGGTGGTCCAGGGACCACACTTTGAGAACCACTGGGTTAGGTCAATGACCCATGCTGACGAAGGTTCTGCCATAATCAACACGTGGTTTCCAAGATTACATTGATGGTTGACATCCCACTGGCGGGAGAGCAAACAAACGAAGAAGCTCCATGTTCTTCTTAAGCTCCCTGGCCAGAAAGTGATGCACATTACTTCCACTCACATGTCATAGGCCCCACCTTTGCAAGAGGACCTGGGAAATTTAGTCCTTGGATGGGCTTCTTCTTAGTAAGCCACTTTCTTCCCAGGCATGCAAAGGGGTCACAGATCACTTAGTGTTGAACCACTGCCACTGCCACACGTGACAAGTCCTCTCCTCATCTCCAAATCTCGGGCCTTGCCACTTAGAAGTATATTAGCCCAGCCACAACCCCAAGCCAGATTCCTAGAGCTAAAAATATACTGTGAACAGAACATGCTCTGGAAGTCGTGGGAGAAGGGGGAGCAGAATCTATGGAGACATGGATACGTGGGCCTCGTCCTCCTTAGACTGCTTCTCAATGACACAAGTCCATGAATGTCTCCACTCCTGCTGAGGGCACAGTGGACAGTGGAACCATGCACTTGCGGTCGGATGGAAGAGCCATCACTCACCAGTTGTGTAACTTTGGGCCTCTCTGCCCCAGTGGGTATTGCTGGTTGACGTGGGGCGGCACCCAGACTGTGGCTCCTCCACTTCCTGCCAGGCCTCCTCCTCCAGCCTCCTCAACTCCTGGGCCATGAGTGTGTGCAGCAATGTGACAATAGCCATCATTTCTCCAGCAGGTTACTCACATCTTCAAAGTTGGGAACTTCGAGGAGATGAGAGACCTATGCGGATTCAATGCATCCTTGTATCATCCAGCTCACATTCTGCTTTGCCCTTGCCCTCCAGTTCCTGTCAATCCTTCCTTCCCCACCTGCTTGTTCTGTTGACTGCAGGCCCAGACACAGAAGCAACAGCCTCCTGTAGACAGTTGAACCAGCTTCCACAACTGCACAGAACCAAACCCTTGTAAGAAAGCCCTCATTTTATGCCATTCTTAGTGGTTTTGCTTGTCTGGCTGAATCATGACTGATACGGGTGCTTTTCTTCCAACATTCTCATTTAATTTTCTGAACAACCCCACAAGAACATTCTTGTTAGTCTTATTTTAGAGATGAGCAAAGTGAGAATCAGAGAGGCTAAGTCACCTGTCTCAGGTTCCACAGCTAGTGAGTGGTGTTGGGGCTGGCACTTGAACCCAGGCCTCTCAAACACCAGTACTTTGACCACTATGGTATTTTGTGGGCTCCTTGAGAAGAAAACTGGGCCCCATGAGATGGTCAACGCAACATCCAGGATCCTACTCCTCTGTGCCCCCAACAAAGGCTCATCCACTGCGACACAGGAAGAGCCTTCCTTGACCAGGGCCTGCTGTCTGCAGAGTGGCCAGGCCGCTATTTTCTCTCCCCTGTTTCCCCTCCACCTCTGGCCAGAGGTTCCTGGTGGGTTGATTCCACAGTTTTTATTACAAATCAATAGGAAAAGGAGAAATGCTTTCTGAGAAGATTCTAAGCCTAATTAAAAACCCAGAAGAAGGCTGGACATGATGGCTCATGCCTGTAATCCCAGCACTTTGGGAGGCCAAGGCAGGCAGATCACCTGATGTCAGGAGTTCAAGATCAGCATGGCCAAGATGGTGAAATCCTGCCTCTACTAAAAACACAAAAATTAGCCAGGCGTGGTGGCAAATGTGTATAATCCCAGCTTCTAGGGAGGCTGAAGCAGGAGAATTGCTTGAACCCAGGAGGTTGCAATAAGCCGAGATTGCACCACTGTACTCCAGCCTGGGCAATAGAGCGAGACTCCATCTCAAAACAAACAAACAAACAAAAACAAAAACAAAACAAAACAAACCCAGGAGAGAACATCCCTCAAAACTACTCTGCTCTTGTGTAAAGACACATATTGATAAGAGAGATGGTGCAGAAGAAAGGCACAGGCTTCCATTGCGAGGTGTGGAGACCTGCCCATGAGAGAGGCAAAGAAAGGCAGAAAAGAAAACAGATGAAAATGGAGAAAATGACAGAGAAAAGGGAGAGGGGGAACCACCAAAAACAGCAAGCAGGAAGTAACATATAGATAGAGGAGGGAGAGAAAGGGAACAAGACATAAAATGAGAAATAATCAGAGACAAAGAAAAATAGAAACAGAAAATAAATGGGAGAAATGGGTATAGAAGAAGAGAAAAAGATGAATGAAAGAGGTGAGAATAGAAGAGAGAGTGAGAGTGAGAGAAAGAGAAAGGGAAAGAGAGACAGAGAGAGAGAGAGAGAGAGAAGTGACTGTCAGGTTCCTACCTAATTAACTTTCTCCCCTGTTCCCAAAAACTTGTGTGGGAGACCAGAGTGGAACCCAAGACAGCTGGTGGGGAAGGGAGGCCCCCTGGCCACTGCCCCCGTTGTGCTGGACAGTGACCACACTTGACACAGCAGCAGGAGATAGACATCTGCCTCTGAGTCAGCTCCTTTCTTCACAGCCCCACCTGCCCCACCTTTTGGGCTAATGTTGCAGAGTTAATTACAGAAAGCCTGCCAGACTGGGGATTTATGAGCCTCAGGAGAGCCTGGCTCTAGAGGGGGAGGGAAGACGTGAGGGAGAGGATGGTCAGAGCCACCTACTGAGCTGGGCACTGAAGGTTTCTACTACCTGGAATGGCCCCCAAGCACCCACAGGCAAAAGGTGTCTGAGACCCAGGGAAATAAGGGGAGGTCTGTCCAGGCTAAGGCCTAGGCCACAAAGCCAATTCTTTCAATATTGATTTAGACTGCCTTCCTACTCTTCTACCTATCCCTATAACTTTCCCCAGAGGGTTTTGCCAGTCTGCCTTTTTTTTTCCTGCCCCTTTGTCACCTCCTCTCCCCATCTGTCAATCCTTTCTCCTATCTGACATCTCCTCCATGTATCTACCATCCTCCATTTACCTACCTCCACCCATCCATCTAAACTTTCACCACCAGAAGCTCCAAAATCCCACTCCTCATCCTTCCACCAACTCCCTACCCACCTGCCAAACGCTCTTCCATCGATTCATGCTCCCTTATAGGCCAACTTTTCCACCCTTCCTCCAACTCCTTCAACCTCCACAGAACCTTCAGTCACCACCATTTCCACTATCCTCATGCCAATCCTCCAATCCATGATTCAGCTCCTGTATTTCCCAACTCCTCTCCATCTGACCTTCTCTCTCTCCATGCACCATTCTCCATTTATCTTCCAAACTCCTTCATCCATCCACCAAACCCTCCACCCATCTGCCAACTTGTCCATACATTTGTCAACCCCTCCCCTTTCCTCCAACTCCTCACCTAGCAGCCCCTCTTCTTTTTCCAAATCCTCCATCCACCCACCAAAATTTCCAACCCCTCTCTACATTTACTTCCACCCTCATAAATTCCTACATTCACATGCTAACCCATCCATTCAGTAAGCCATGCTTCCTTGCATTTATACATACAATTCCATGTCTGATCCACCAATACCTAACTCCATCTACCATCTCATTCATCTTTCCATTCAGCAACCCTTCCATTAATATGTCAACCTCTTCCCACACTGTCAACTCCTCCCTCATTCCATCCTTCAATCCCCCAACACTCCAACGATCCTTAATGCACTCACTGACTTCACAAAGGCCCCAACCCAGCCCTCAGGGAAGTTCTGTAAAAAGAAAATAGATTTGTAGAACTGCAGAGCTGGGATATAATCTTGGTTTGGAACACACTGGCAGCGTGGCTCAGTTCAGTGCTCCCTGACCTAGTCACAGCTTTGGGAGGGTCCTCAAGGCCATTGAGGAAGCTGGACAGAGTAGAAAGGAAAGTAGGGGAAAGGTTCTCTCACCTCTGTTAAGGACGCTGGTAAAGTTAATTACAGCCAGCTCCTCACCCCTCTCCACCCGCCCCAGCTAACTGGACAGTACAGAGGGAGCCTCACCCCACTGATTTCTGCCCTGACCTGTTCTGCCTGCCCTAATGGACACAACCAGGCCACAGTCCCCTCCTCTGCCTAAACTCTGGGGTTTTGAGCCAACTCCAAAGACCCTGACTAGCCAAAGCCATGTTGAACCAAGGCCTAAGCAGATTTACCAGGCTGGGATTGCAGGTGGCCCCCAGCACTGCAGTGACCTACTCAGCCTATATGGTCCCATCTGTTAAATACCAGAAACCCTCTTGACTACTTATGAGCCAGTTTAGACCCAGGCCAGGTAGATTCCAGGTAACACAGAGAGGTAGAAACTGCATCAAACCTAGATATAGGTTATGGAATCAGCAAGACCTGGCTTTGCATTCTTCTTGTACTTCCTGGCTGTTTCACTTAACCCCTCTGAGCCGCAGTGTTCTTGTTTGTAAAATTAAGGTCAGAAAGCTCCTACCTACGGCATGGGATTATGATTTTAAAATATACACACACTGGGATAAAGCTTGAAACACAGTAGTTCCCCATCAAGAGATGCTTTCACCTCCCTTGGACTGGCTCTGGTGGCTAAGTCCTGGTCTTCTCTCTACATCAGGGAAAACAGGACAAATTGCCATTCCTAGACCAGGTTGCCTGGGCTACAAAACTAAGCCTTCTCCCCCAAAAGCCCCCTGTATAGGAATTTCCACAAAAATGAAAACAAAAACCTTTGTTTTTTAGGGAATTGTAAATGCCTGGAAAATTTTGCAATGGGGTGAAACTTGGCCAGAGACAGAAGCAATTTTTCTTTTTGCAAATCTCAGCCCTTCCTTTTGGCCCAGGTTGGCCCCTTGCCAAAAATGTGAGAGATGACAGGTGAATGTGTGAGTTTCTGTGACTTGGGTTTCCGAAATGGCATTCAACAAGTGATCTGTCTAATTGCTTTTGATATCTAGAAAAGCTAATTAAGGTAATAATACTTGGCACTTGTATAATAATAATAAAAATAATGACCCTTTATATGTAAGGAGCGTCTTTCATCCAAGGATTACAAAGCCTTTACAAACATTAATTAATCCTCACAACTCACCTGTGAGGTGGGTGTAATTAGACCCATTTTATGGCTGGATGAATTGAGGCATGGATGGGGTGAGGGATGTGGTGAAGATCACACGCTGCATCTGCTGCCAGGACTGGGATGGCCTTGAAGATTTTAGAAGCCGTACTCAGAATTCTCACAACTGGTAGAATCCCTCTAAGCTGTCCCAGGGAGCACCCCCATGAGTCAAAGCTCTCTCTTGACCAGCCAGAGAGAAAAGTAGAACACTAGGACCACATCTGGCTGGGTGACCTTCAGCTAGTTCCTTCCCCTCTCTGAGCCTTTACTTCCTTCCCCATTAGCCAAGAGGACTGGGTTCCCTGACACCTCACCTCCCCAGTGTTCAGCCCCACAAGCTTGTCATCCTGTTTCTGGCATCACTGTCAGGTTTTCAGGACCTTGAAGGCACCAACAAAGACCCAGATTCAGCCAGTATCCCTGGGCAGTTAGGTTGCCAGATTTAGCAAATAAAAATACAAGACACCGAGTTAGAACTTTTGAATTTCAGAAAAACAATGAAGAATTTTTCAGTGTAAGCATGTCCCATGCAATATTTGGAACATGCTTATACTGAAACATGGTTTGTTATTAACCTGAAATTCAACTTTAACTGGGTGTCCTGTGTTTTGTCCAACAACTGCTTGTTAGCCACTCTGTGCCAGGCACAGGCTGAATTTCTCACATCTCTGACCTCAGGTAATCCTTCCCCTACTCTGGGAGGCAGCCATTATCATTCCCATTTTGCCACGAAAACTAGTCTAGAGAAGAAAAGTGGCCTGCCCAGAGTCCTGAATT